CGGCCCCGCGCGGGGGGGGGGGCCTGCCACGGCACCGGGCGGCACAGGACCCGGTGTGCGGGGCTGGTGCGGCCCGGCCCAACCCCAGCTGGCCCGCGGCAGCTAGAGCTGGGCTGCCCACCCCGGCATAGCGCTGCCCTGGTGCCCCTCATGGGGCTCCCTGTGCACTGCCCAGCTCCGCAGTAACGGGCACGACCATCTTCCACCCAGCAGCTTCCCCTACAGCCACCCACCATGCACTCGCTCTGCACAAAGCCTCGCAGCGCGCTCCTGCACAGCACAAAGGTGCACCACACACCCATACTCCCCACACTGTGCATCTTTTCCATCCCCACAGGGGTCCCACATACCGCTCACCCGTCCCTTTTCTCCACACAAGCTTTTCCCCTTCCATTATCCACTTTACTTGTTCCCCATGACCACCCACCAAAGTAGCACACCTCTTCCCCTTCCATACATACACCTGGTCAGTAGGTCTTGCTACATATATATGTAGACTGAATCCTTCATCCTACAAATGGCAGAAGGCAATGTGTCTTCCATATGCCCAAGCGTTCCCTTGCATGCGTTGCTAAAGCAATGCACAGGCAACATACCATGTAACCCACAGATCTCTAACATATTAATTGATCCGTAATGCATTTCACATAACCTCTTCCTTTTTTGGAACACAACTTAAAAGGAAAGTCAACCCTCACTAGTAGGCACAGTGCCTAAGGGAAGTAAGTCTTCAATCCCCTTCTCCCACACTGCCTAGTACTTTAGGTTCAGTATAGGCACCAGCTTACTGCACACAAGTTCTTCCTATGCCAAAGACAAAGTACTTCTGCATTAAGACTAGGAGAGAGGAGAAGAGGGCAGTGGGGAGGAAAGATGTTTGCTACTTAGCCAGAACTCTCAAATTAGACCCAGACTGTCCCTGGTCCATGTTGTGGGGAAATAAATATGGTCTTATTCCAGAAATGTAAAGACACAAAGTAGCTGCATCTAAAATGACATTCATCACTCCCCCGCTATGTCCCCTGATTCCTCCCACCCTCTAACTTATTTTCCTTGCACAATTTTGAAGGTGAAATTCCCTGAGTACTGAATGTATTGTAGTCCTAGGCTGGAACTATTCATCAAGAATAAGCACACTGGCTGGAAGGAGAAGAGTTTCTTTTTAAATGAGTTGGACGAACACTTGAATATTCAAACAATCTTTTTGCTCGTTGGCATGTTTAAAAAAATGTTATCCCTGCAGAATTTTCAATCTTGGCAAATGTTAGATCCAAGAGGAAGGCTGCAAAGCGTCCCACCCGTAATTACATCCCTCACTAGCAGTAGGGAAGGAGACAAAAAGGAGAGGAGAGATTTAAAAAGGGAGAGGGATAAGAACAGAGATCTCATTTGTCCATTTCCCTTTCACAGCTAATTAGCCCTGAACCAGAACCTTCCCTCACCTACAAAAAAAACGAGAATTTAATGAAAAGGACACCGACTTTCTTAAGATCTTATTTTGTGAAGATCCTGCTTCTTAGGGTTTTGTTTTGTTCATTTGAATTCAACTCCAAACAGCTTTCAGTTTTCATTTATCCTGTAATTCAAGAGAATGATTAAAACAATCCACTTGTATCTGGACTGGTAAGTACTCGCTCTGACTCCAAAAAAAATGTAATACGGAGCATTAGGACAAACTGATCTTAGAAAGAGGCAAATGGAAAAGTCATTGACTGATTTTAAGCATCAGTTGAGAAAGGGAATTGCTTGCACTTCAGGAGCTGGGTTTTCACAGAATAACATCTAAAATATAGATAAATGGAAAAGTTCATAGGCTGCCTCTGTAATTGCAGGAGGTAATTGCCCCTGATTTTGAAAGGGATGTGGGAAGAACCGCGTAGAATGCTGGAAAAGAATTGCAAAAGGAAAAGAATATGAACTAAATTAGCAAAAAGTCAACCGTGAAAGACAATTTCCAAAGGGAAAAAAGGATCCACTTTTTACGGGATACATTTTTTAGCTGATCATATGTGATTGCTTCTGTAGCAGGAAAAACAAACCATGGCTTATCTGTAAGATCCAGCCTCTGAGAAGAGGAGTACTGTGGGATGTTTTGAGAAAAGAAATGTCAACATAATTTTTAAAATGCAGCAAAGCTTATTTCAAAGAGAACATCATAAAGGAACAGGTCTGTTCAAATGTTTAGAGAATAACACTTTGAAGTAGCACTGTTCTCAAAATTAAAAAAAAAAAAAAAAAA